AGCGCTGGCTGTCTGACCGGCTTCATTCATTCAGGACTTTGGTGGGGCGACTCCAGGACCCGCCGGTTTTGCTGCTGCGTCACTTCCGTCAGGAGGTCTTAGTCTGACCTGCAGGCTTTTTCAAAGCACCTCAAGGTTTTGTGGTGAATTTTCTGATTTTGGACGAGTGTCGCCGGAAGAACCCCGACGAGCCAAGAAAGGGCCTGCATCCTGAAAGGTATGGCCGGCTTCGCGCTCTTGTTTAAGACGCCCCTGTGCGCTGGCCGTGAACTCAGCGGGCGGAGCGGCTGACGGACCCACGCAGTCCCAGTCTGCGGCTGGTGGGAGGGAGTGGCCTGCCCCAGCTGGGCTGCCAGGTGTGCTGCCAGGTGTGGGTTGAGAGCAGGTACCTTGACTTTGAGACTGGTGTTCGTTCCCCTGCATCGCACTGCATCTAAGTCATTCTTCCTGTTGTGATGTAAACGTAATTTATCGTCCTCACCGGCTGATAAACGTCCAGTAGGCAGCATAGACTTCCTTGTTGCCGTTAACATAAGCCACAAGAGGAAGATAGGCTGTCTGTGAGCCAGTTTCGTTTTCATGCAAGTCTTATTAGTCAGATCGTTCTTGGCATTTCTTAGAACACGCTTTTTAATGCTTTGGATGAAAACCAGCGTTGAGGTCATAGCCGCGCAGGTGAGCGTGACCCTGGACAGCGCAGCGGCAGTGAGCTGTGTGTGCTTTTACTCAGGGTTCGTCAGACTCAGGTTTGGACCCCAGACCTAGAGACCGACTGGAAGGTGCTCAGAGAGCAGCCAGGGGTGGTGGCGTAGCCCGCACCCCATCCTCCTGGGGCTGGACTGGGGGCTGGCCTCGCCCCCCTAGAGTGCTAGGGCCTGGGACAGCCGCATTGCTCTCCTCCGCGGCCCCAGGACAACCCGGAGGGTGGAGGGTGAGCTATTTCTGGGCTGACAGGAGAACCCAGGGGAGCAGACTCGCATGCCCTTGAGGAGGAACCGTCCACTAAAAGCCAAAGGGCTTAAGTACCCCTGGGGACAGGCTGCTCACTCTCCCAAAACAAAGTACTCAGCTTCCTAGGAAGGTTGCAGGTGGACCTCAATATTCAGTTCTTCAGTAACTGAGCCAGTTTAGGGACAAGACTTTCTGCTTCCAGGGACAGGAATCAGTCTTACCTGGTGCCGGCCCAGAGCCAGGCCCCGGCGAGCGCTCGCGTAACCTCTGCTGCGTGAGGGGAGGGATGCACACGTGAGGGGAGGGGTGGGGATGGGCCAGCTGCCCAGCGGTCTCCAGAGGCCATTTCAGACACACGAGGTGGATGGGGATGAAATGAGGAGGGCGGAGGTTTCAGCCCTGAGTGTTTAGACTTTCCTAGCAACACCTTTCCGCCCTTCTCTTCGTTAACACAAAAGTA